AAAACCAGTGGCAGCAATTATAAATAATTTGTCAATATTTTTATTATTAATTTTTGTCAAATTCAGCAATAATTTGACAGCCAATACTCTAGAAAAGAGAATTGATTAAACTCATCTATAAAAAATCAAGATAGCTTAAATTTACAAAAAATATGTGATAAAAAAAAAACCAAAAAATATATAAAAAAGAAGGTATAAATCTCATTGAAATTCTATACAATTCAGATATTAAAGCATATATTAAGTATGTATTGAAGAAGGGATACAAATGCAATAACATTATAAAATAAAATTCTTGCTTTTGATATTATCCAGATATGAATGGTGAATCATATACAGATATCCAATTTGCTACTGCCTTTATTAATTCATTGGGATAAAGCTATATTTTTAATATAGATACTTTATATCTGCAAAGCAATAATTAATACTACTTAGCTTAATTGGGATGCATACGAACCGCCCTCTGATCTATAAAAATGAAAACATGTACTTAATCACTGATATTATAAAAATACAGTAACAATTTTTGTTTGAACACTGACGACGTACTTTCCAACTTTTTATTCTTCATTGTCCTTTAATGCCATATCGACAATAAAGTTCACATATGACTCAATCCATGCTTCCAAATTATTATCTGCTAACGCATTCACACCTTGTTCCGATTCAATAACACTATATCAATAAGGAAAATAAATCAGTCGCGAATTAAAAATATTATACAGTATAAATGATGAGTTAACTCGTAATTTATTGAATACTAATCTAGATCATAATGTAACTTCAGATTATAGGTCTCCCTGTTTTATCTGAATATTTCATTAAGACTCGCACATTCTTTTATATTAGACACTGATTGTCAGGAAGTTATGGATCTGTTTTGTCCGGAGGAAAATGAGACGATTTTAAATACTAATTAAGTCTTTTCCGGCCGTACAAGATGATATCAAAAAATATGTTATGAAATATTACAAGGTATTCTGTTTGATAAGGGTTGGCCGAATTGAGACATTCATTCATAAATCTTCTAAATCTCTAAAGAAAAATGTTGGCGATCTTCGACAAATTGTCATGGAACCATATTTGAAAAACAATAAAAAAAGAATAACATTATATTGAATCAAGTTTGAGTCAAAAAAAATATGGTTTAGATTACAAATTTCAAAACCATTAAATAAATAAGTACAAGCTTTAAAAATATAAATCCAGAATAAAAGAAAGAATATTATTTCAAAATATGAATTAAAACAGATTACTATTTTTTATTAACAAAAAAGATCTCAATAAAAAAACTGGATAAAAAATTAAAAGATCTTTCAAAAAAATTTTCTGAATTTTATTTATTAATTATGCGGTATTTAATAATTTAGAATTAAAATAAAAAATATTTTTTATTAAACTTTTCAATAAAATAATAAAAAAAAATAATATTTTTAAAAATAAAAAAGTAATATTATTTATTATATATCCAAGTTGAAGTTATAGAACTCAAATTAAACAATATAATATCTATTACTTTGTTGAAAAAAACAAAAAAGTATTTTATTAAAACTATAATTAAATATCGATTATTAATATATAAAAAAATTTATAAGATTAAAATTTTGCAGATCTATAAGAAAAAAATATAATTAAATTTATTTATCTTTTAAATAATATCTATAAAAAAGTTAAAAATATAAAAAAAATATTATGGATTTTCTTTTAAGATTCAATTACTATATAATCTATAATATAATTAGTCTCAATATTTTAAAAAAAATAACAAATTAAATTAAATTCTATTTATTATTAATAACTTTTAATTAATATATTAAAAAACAAGAAATACTATATTGTTTTTCTTATAGAATTATCTAATTCTTTTTCAATAAGAGATGATATAAATTAAGAAAAAATATTTTTTTCTTTAATAAATTATATAAACTATAAATATACTATAGAAAAAATATATATATTAAATTTTCAAAATTTATAATAAATAACTTATAAATTTATAATAAAAATTTAATTCTATTTTTATAAATTGAAATTAAAAAAAGTTAAAAATAGTTTATATCAATATTGACAAAGCATAAGTCAAAAAACAAAATAAAAATATTATATTATTATTTTAGTAATAAAGTGATAATAAGAATTTGACAATCAAAAAAAATTTGATAATAAAAAATTTATTAATTAAAAGTTTAACAATAAGTTATTAAAAAATTCATTAACAATTTATCAAATAATTTATTAAATATTTAACAAAAATTCATTAACAATTTAATAAAAGTTATTACAAAATTATTTATTAGCAATTCAATAAAAATTTGATAATAATTTATTAATAATTTATCAAAAATTCATTAATAGTTTATTAATAATTCATCAACTATTTATTAAAACTATTCATTAAAAATTTATTAACTATTCATTAAAACTATTTATTAAAAATTTATTAACTATTTATTAAAACTATTTATTAAAAATTCAACAACTATTTATCATTTATTTAATTAAAATTTATAAAACTTATAAAAAAAACTATTTATATTTATAAATTATTTGTTATTATTTACATAATAATATTTAAATTTTTTTTTTTTGTCAAACTAGTTATATATACTTTATAGACTTTATATATCAATATGACATTAAAGCTAAATATTTAACTAACTCATTACTTTAAGTACAACTTTATAAATAATTTATCATTTTATTAACAATTCAAATAAATATCCTTTTTAACTATTAATATAATTGCTTACAAATCACTATTGCAGATTACTTTATAAAGATTTGACAAAGATCAAAACCATAACCATTTATTCTATATTCAATTTCTTTTATTAATATCTGCATTATTCAATTTTCTTATTCAGAAATTAATAGTTTCTTGATCTTGATCTTGTTTTTAAAGATTTTTAGACTGATCTTCTTATTTTATTCTTTTTATTAATTTTTTATGCCCATTTTTATTCAATTACTATTCATATCTTTTATTTTAAATCTTTTTTTAAATGTGATTACAAACTTTCTTATATATTTTTATAATTTACCTATGCTTTTTGTCTTATTTTTTTGCTACAACATTTGAGATTAGCCATTGTGATAAACCAGTTACTCTTCATGAGTTTCATATAAAGTTTAGTGTTCTATAACCACTTTTGAAGACTTTTTCTATAAATTTAAAGATTAGCTGTCTAGTTTTCTCATTTTTTCTCTATCTTTTATAATTAGCATATATTTTTTTCTTTAAATTTTTTTTTTTCTTTCTTGAAAAAATTTCTTGAATTCCTTTAATATCTCTTCTAATTCATTTGGCTATTTTTTTTGCAATTGTTTTTCATATACTAAATATTTTAATAAGCAATTTACTATTTTTGCATCTTGATTATACTTTATACATTTTACTTATTTGATTTTCTTATTGTTAATTTTGTTAATGTCAATAACTCATTATTTGCCAATTTTATGAAAAAAATTTTTTATAAAAATCTTTGAAGAAAGTATTACTTATATATTTATCTTTTATTCTATTCTATATAAGATCTTATATATATTTATATTGATCTTATATTTGCTGAATCCATTTTTTGGGAATTTTATTCTATTATATTTATTGATAGGCTGTTATCTTATTATTTACTTTTTTAATAAATTGCCTTATTAGAGTATTCAGTATTATACTTTAATATTTAATTTCTATAATAATTTTAAATAATATAAGATTTTTTTATTCTATTACAAGAAATTAAATGACTTCTTTAGTTATTATATTAGTTTCTTTATTGTATCTATTATTAAAGTAAGCTTTAACCTTAATTTGTTCTAAGTTTAAATATTTTTTCTTTACAAAATATAACATTCACGTTTATAGAAATTAGTTTTTCTCTTTCAGTTATCTTTTATATATCTTTTTGAAATCTTTTTTTTTCAATTCCTTCTATTTTAAGATATAGGTTTGACTATTTATATAAATTTTAATACTACTTTCAATAGAAATAACTAGCAATATAGTAACTATTGCTATTATTTATACTCTTGTTGATAATAACCAGTTTTCTACCTTGTTTAAAATTTGCTTTCTCTTTTTGTTTCTCTTATTTGGATCTATACTGCTTTTATTTTTATTTCTTCACTTCCATGGTTGACCAGTGATCTATCAGAATAGAAAGTTATTATTTTATTTGACTTTTGATTTATTAAAATATTTTCATTAAGTGAAACTGATATATATCTTCTTTTATATTGTCTTTAATAATTTTTTTTCTCAACTTTCTATTTCTATATTTATTACTTTGTCAGCTTGAATCTATTATTGATCTTCTTTATCTTCTTAAGTATTTTATTTTCTTTATTTGTCTTGCTTCTTAGAACCTTTAGTATTTGAGCTTTTCTGATAAATTTTCTTGTGTTAAAATATGAAACTATATATACTTTGTTTTTTTTTTTTGTTATTATGCAATAGTTATTTTTCTTAATATTTTTTAGATATCCAAGACATTTTATTAAACTTGTTACTTATTGGTTTTCTTCAACCACTAAACTATTGAAGTATTCAATTTCTATATTATTCATTATACTTTTTTTTATTAACTTTCTATAGATGACTTGATTCTCTTTGTTTTTTATAATATTAACAACTTCTGCTATTTGTTATGATTATATTTCACTATAAGGTATTTTAGTTTTTATTTTATTTAATTCACCTTTTAAGATCTGACAAACTATTCTATTTCTTTTTCTTATATAATCTTGACTATTAATAGATACTATTAAGAAACTAGTTCCTTATCTATATTCTGCATAAACTATAATATTTACTAGTTTTGTATTCTTTAATATTTACATTAATTAGTTAATCTATATATATTAAACCATTGTTTATTAGTGAAGGTATAGCTTCTTTGTATTTATCTAATATTAGATATTTATTAATTGAACTATTTTTCTTGCTTTATTCAAATATGTTATGCCATTTTCAGCTTTGAAAAATTATATTCATATCTTTAGCTAACTTTATTATTAGAATTATAAAGTTCACTTTGTCTGATAGATGGTATAAAGAGTTACAAGTAAATAGATTATCAAATTTTTAGTATCTTATTTATACATATTTGAATTTAATAATTGTTTTAATTTTTACTAATTCTTGATTATTAAATCTATTGTATAATCCTATTATTTGATTAACTCTTTGCTATATCTAGATACTTTTCAGATTATGAATTTTTAAATAATATAGAACACTATTTGATATCAATCCACTAAGTACAGTTTTATTCTTGTGGAACTTTCTATATACTATTATTAAAATATTATATATTTTTCAAAGCAATATATTGTATTGTATTCTAAACTCAATTCTTGATATTAGAACTTTATTCAATATATAAAGTATTTATTTGTCTATTATCTTTTTATTTTTAGAGCTTTGGTAATTATATTGATTTCTTTTGATATTCTTTTTTTGAGTTCAATTGCAATTTTTTAATTACTTATTTAGATTTACAAAAATCTTGCTTGTTTAGTTTTATCTAGCTCTTTGATTATTTCTTTATTAATATCTGCTTAATCTTATACTAAATATTGATTAGAATTATTAATAATAACTAGTATCAATTTGTTACTATTTAATCTGTGAGTCAATAGCATATTAGTAAGCTCCTATGATATTATTTGTAAGTTACTAGTTCAATCTCATATAAAAACAGTTCTTACAATATAGATTACATTATAAAATATGCATATTTATCAATTATATATACATTTATATATAAGATAACCTATAGAAATTCATTGTTTAATTATAGTATTATAAATCAGGCAATGTAAATTCTAGTCAATTTTAGTATTGGAAAAAAGAATCCATAATATCTTTTTACCTAAAATATATGAAGACATTAAAAAACATTAAAAAAGATAATAATCAACTTAAAATTTTATTAGTTTTATATAGAAATTCATCTCTTTTCAAAAAACTATTCTCATAGAAGACTGAAAGATATTGGTTACTTGTATTAGCTATAAAAATA